TATTAGTTTCTTTATCAATAGAAACTTGATTAAATTCTTTGACATCAATCACCATAACACCATTTCTTCCACCATTTCCATATTCTTCAAAAGAGTGCCCACCAGATCTGGCAGTAACAGGAATTTTTAAAGTATTTGCACAATAAATTGATAATTGAATATCTAAAATATTAGTAACATATATTATCACCACGGGATAGTAGGAATATCGACAATTAAAGATTTTAATAGATTCGTAATAGTTAGGATCACCCGGATAAACGGTTAAACCATTGATAGTGGAAAGACATTCTTTTAGATGAGGTACTGGTCCTAAAATTTCAAGAGGACATTGAACTATTTCACATCCATCATCATCAAGAAAAGTGCGGGTGTTTAATGGAGTTACTTGGATTATCAGTAAGAACCAAAGAAAAAATTTTATATCCAATGACGATGACATTTGAACTTTAGACTTAAATGTTATCTAAATACGAGATTGAACTACTTAGAGGCTACTTAAAGGATTTTATATTAGTATGTAATTAGAGTTTGCAATGGGCCGGGTTGGGCCGGGTTTGCCTAAACCCGTACCCGGCCCGTTAAATTATGAGCCGAACTTATTACGGGTCTGAAAATCTAGCCAGGCCCAGCTCAACTTATTACGGGCCTGAAAATTTAAGCCCGGGCCCGGCCCGAACCGCAAATTACCGGCTTTGACCCGCTCCATTGTGAACTCTATCTGTATTTAACCAGACATACGCATATAGTCTTATAATTATTATAATAGTTATCTGATCTTAATTTACATATATCAATTTAAATAATTGAATTAGCCAAAAAAATCATCCAGCAGGTATTTTAGGATTTGTGATAATAGCTTTGCAGCTATTTTTAAAATTCCTGAACAGCTGATAAAAATGACTGAATGAGGTTCTAGCCGATTCGATTAAGTTTGTGTGATTCGTATAATAAGAGATGATCAATGTTCTACAGATAACTTAATCATTAAAATGTTGATGACATATTCAGCATTATTAAACTTCGTTTGAATCGATTATGCTAAAATCACAAACTTAACCAAATAGACCAGAACATCATTCAGTCAATTTTTATCAGGTGTTCCAGTAATTATGAAAATTGCTGTAACTAGATAACAATAATTTTACAAAAGCCGAGTATCACTATAATTCAAAAATTGAAGTAAAATTTTTTTTAACATTTAATTTACAGCTAGTTTCATAATTCCTGGAACACCTGATAAAAATTGACCTATTGATTTCGGCATATAAATTATATATATATGTTTCCGCACAAACTAAGTACACTAAATATGTTGCGCATACTGTTGTTAGGCAAAACTATTTTTGGCAAATGGCAAAAGTCAAACTAAACCCGGCAAAAGTCAAAACTGGCAAAACTCTGGCAAAACACAAAACTATGGCAAATGGTGGAAGAAATGGTGTTATGGTGATTGATGTCAAAGAATTTAATCAAGTTTCTATTGATAAAGAAACTAATA